AATGCTGAACTTAAACGAGGCCAAGGTTGAAGAAATGAGAAATAATTTACTAAAATAAAATGAGAAGAAATGTTAATTGGTAAATCAACTGACCAAGATAACATTTTCTCATCTGAAGGACAACAGCTTTGGCAATGCAATTCACCCCCAACTCATTAGATAATGTTAGTGTCCCAATACAGCAGTTTGAATGAACAACCTTCTGATCCAGAAGCAAAAGTGCAACAAAATAAACAAAGCGTCTAGAAATCAAGAGAGTGGTAAAGGAGGAGATGAGTCCATTAAAAACAAATTGAAAGAAGGTCATGGCAAAACTGGTAAAGGAATATTTTGCTTCAGTTTTCACTTTAAAAACCTGAACGTAGAGAGAATATTTAGGGGTCAATCAAGGTGACAAATTAATATAACTAGTGGCATTGGAGGGATTAGTATAATGAGTGGCACTGGAGTCAGACATGCCTAGATTATTTCCATCCTCAGGTAAGGGAAGTGAATAACTAAGCGAGGAAACTAGATACATGATTTCAAGAAACTTGGTTACCAGAGTAACTGAGAATCTGGATGAATATGAATTGATGAAGGAGAGTCAACACGGTTTTATGAAAGGTAAATCATGTCTCACAAATCTGACTTTTCTTGTCAGCGCCACTGAGGTGATAGAATTTATAACAAGGGGCCTGGAATAGAAAAACAAGGAAATACTGCCACAGTTAAAGTGCCAGTGAGAACTCATTTACGGACAGTTCAGAAGTAAGGAACATAGAGAAAAGACTGGGAAACGGGATTAGAAGATTTGTTGTGATCTAATTGAATAGCAGAACAGATTTAATGTGCTGGATGACCTGCTCCTGCTGCTATTTTACAATGTTACTTTGTTACTAAGTATCCTGGTGTGATATGCATGGTGTGATTATGCATACAACAACAAGATTTCATTTATAGAGCGCCTTTCACGTCGGGAGGACGTCCCAAGGCGCTGGACAGTTGGGTCAGGACCCGAGCAGGGGGGAAATGGTCAGGGTGAGGGGAGGGAAGGGAGGGAGCGAGGAGGGGGTAGAGGCATCAGTTGATGTAGTTGTACTGCTTGGGATAGATAATAGCTCCCAGACAGCAGTGGACTAAATATTGCTTGAAATTTGCCTGGTGGTATTTCTTCCTACCTATATTTTATGACGATACTTGCATATAATATAGCCATTTCACCTTGAAATGTTTAAAAATCTTCCAACAATGGACTTTGACAGTAGGAAATGTGGCAAGTCTGCATATACTGTATACATAGCATATCACAACAGTGTAATTCACTGCACTTCATGACAATATAAAATATACAATGCAATAACAGTTGTGTTTTCTTACTGCAGTGTGTGATCATCTGGTCTGTACAGTGCATACGATAGAGTACCTACAATGATTATTAATAATGTGAGTTCATCGTTGTCAGTCTGAGATTCTGTCTCCATGTTCTAATGGATATTAAGGATACAGTGGTGCAATTTCAAAGAAAAGTTTGTAGTTTTCCAAAAATTAAGATTGAATGTGGTCACAGAATCATAAGAGGCATAAAGATGGAAAAGATCCCATTTGGTCTCCTCATGCTGGTCTCCTACCCTACCAACCTTCTTACTATAGTATCAAGCTGCTTCATAAATAAGCAGAGTTTACTGGTCTTAACCACCCTTTCTTAGTTTCAGCTATTATTTACTGTATTTACTTCCTAGTATTTATTCTGAAATTGCCTTTCATAGCCTTAGTCAGTGATTAATTTATTAGGTTGTTTTAAAACAGGGAATCTTTCATGTGCTACTGGTGATTGAATGTATTAGTTTCAAACTATTAAGGCTAATAGAATATTATTTCCAACTATAGTTCTACTGCTTTCCTTCATCATAGGATGAATATTTTCTAGTTTTATTGGCTTTCTGGAAATTCGCAAGATAGACTTGCCACATTTTCTACTGTCAAAGTCCATTGTTAGAAGGTTTTTAAACATTTCAAGGTGAAATGACTCTATTATATGCAAGTATTGTCATAAAATATAGGTAGGAAGAAATACCACCAGGCAAATTTCAAGCAATATTTAGTCCACTGCTGTCTGGGAGCCATTATCTATCCCAAGCAGTACAACTACATCAACTGATGCCTCTATCTCCTCACCATAGTGTGCAATGAACAACGACTATTCCAATGATAGAGAAAAATGTTGATTTTCCTCCATACAGTTGTATGTGTTTTCCGCATGTTTCGCCAACAGCTGTTGCCCTCAATAAACTGGAAGCTCTGATTCTCACAATATAATGAATGAGGGCAAACCAACATTTCACAGAGAGGCTGCTGCACTGTAGGATGATGGCTTAGTCGCATCATGGTGAACCTCCAATGAACTTACATAGACCAGGCTGATTCTCCAATGCAGTGCATTATTTGAGGTGTCCGCCTTTGGTTGAGACATTTAACTGAGGCCCTTCTCCCTGTTCAGGTAGACACTAAAGATCCTGGCACCATTAGAAAAGAAAATTGAGTTTCCCCTTCACTTTTTGTATTTCATGACTTGCTGTGTACAAATTGGCTCATCACGTTTGCCGACAAAATACAGTCACTGCAATTTATAACAAATCTTGCGAAACGCTTTGAGATGCTTTGACAACATGATAAGGTGCTACATGAAATGTAAGGATGATAAACAACTCACAGCGTTAACTGTAAAGTATAGTGACTGTGTATTTTGTAGGAGAATGTGGCAGCCAATTGTGCCACAATGTCTCACAACATCCATGCAGTGAAAGACCATTTTTTTTATTCCTTCAGGGATTGCTGGCTGGGTCGCCAGGAGAAACTCCCTTATCTTTCATCTAAAGGATTGGTTCCATGTGTTCAGTGAATCAGAAATTCTTCTATCAGATACGATTGCAGATTGTGGGTGAACTCTCTACCGGTGTATTTTAACAAAAGCAAGTGAGACACAGTTACACTGCGACTCGTTTTGTCGTTTATTCCGGGCAGTGGGGACCTTGAGGTGAGAAAAGGAATAGCACAAGTTGCAACATTTTTTTTCCCCTGCAGTGGATTCTTCACTCCCCACTTCCGACCAAAATGATCTGTCCATTCTGTGCCAACATTGAATGCAGCAGCAGACACAACCCTGTGTGCTCGCCGTTTAATGTGCACTGTTCTTTACTCTGGGCTGTTGCATTCACTGCAGCGAAGCTGTTGACTGGTGAACTCTCCTGACTGGTGGGGAAGTCGGTGCAAACGTCGGGAGGGAGGGATGAGCAATGAGGATCGGGACAGTAGCCACACAGTGGACGTTATCTTACATTTCCAACTCTGCACCACCGAACGTGAGCGGCATTGCAATGGAACAGAAACTCCCTTCCAAACCCAAACGTTTGCAAAACTAAGCATTTCTTCCACTTCCAAGCACTCAGCTGACCAACTGGTTGGTGCTCTCTTTGGACGCGAAATAACGTTGTCTTTTCGTAAAAAAAGAACACAAAACCAAAAAAAAAAATTGGCTTTGGATTGTGCAAAAAAGGCGGGGACGAGAGCTTATCAGTGGATATTTCTAATATATACAAAAAAAAAGATTAGAAGGTCAACAAGTGCATCTTGAATTGGCAGATCGGTCTCATGAGTGTGGGTTTTAATGGCAGTGAAGGCGCGGGGGCACTGCAGCGCTGGGTTTATTGAGCAGTGGACAGTGTGTGGGGGAGACACACGTTAAATCTGAACAGAAATCTGAACACCGAAAGCCCTTCAGTGATCTGCACCTTCCCTGCCAGCGGGCAATGCTGACTGACCCCCAGCGCCCAACACACCGCCAGTCACCAAGTGTGACTCACTGTGTTATTGGCGGCTCCCTCCCAACATGCGGCCAAACCTCCTCCAGTCGCAGCTTGAGATTCCTCTCAAAAATCACAATAACCCGCGCTCTTGTCCTCTTTGGTTCAGTTCATTGCCAACCTTTCTTTATTTTTTGCTGCTGCTGCTGCTGGTGCTGGTGGTGGCTGCAAAGAGAGAGTGAGAGATCCACACACACACACCACACACACAGAGAGATCGGCGTAAAGACTGCGCCTCTGAATCCTACTAATATTTTTTTCCCCCCCAAAAAAATTCATGTGCATTTGCTGAGGATCCCTCCATGTTCCGAGGTTGCAGCTGCACAGTTTCTTGGCTGCAGTAACTTACTGGCGTCCAGGCGTCTTTGCCATCTCTCTCTCTCCCTCTCTCTCTCTCTCTCTCTCCAGTTATGTGTCTGTCGCCACAACCCGTTTTCCTCCTTATCTTTTTACCTTTCCTGCCGCAAATGTGAAGCCTGATCCGATCCTCGGCTGGGTTTGCATTTTATTTGTTGTGTGTGTGTGTGTGTGTGTGTGTGTTTGTTGTTGTTGTTGCTGTGTGTGTGTTTGCGTGTTTGTGTGTCTCCTCTTTTTTTGTGCACAACCCCCCCCCACCCCCACCCCCCCAAAAAAAAAATTCGTCGACAAAAGATTTTTATGCATTCCTTAGCAATTTTTTTTTTGGGGGGGGAACAAAAATTACGAATTCGTCGCCATGTGACTGTAAGGTCTTATTTTTCTTGTTGCCTTCCCGATCTGCGGTGGGAACCTCGTCTCTTGGATTAAAAAAAAAGGAATGAACTTTGTTTTATGATTTCTGCAAACCTTCCGAGAGAAGGGAAGTGGGGGGTGGGGGGGGGGGGGGGGGGAGGGGGGGGATGTTGGAGAGAACCGTGATCTGAAATGGGCTGTCGCGGACCAGAGTGAGAGAGCCAGAGAGAAGTCTCCAATCCGATGCAAAACACGTCCAGCAAAAGAAAAAAAGGGAGAAAAAAGAGCGATCTGTGTTGGAGGATCTGCGAATTCAAGTGGGGTAGTGCTGGTGGTGGGGGGATATTAATCAAGTTTATGCCAAACCTTTTGATCTTGCATTATCCGTGGGGTTTTGGATGGATCTCTCTGCTTGTGGTGGTGGTGGTGGTGGTGGTGGTGGGGGGGGTGTTTTTTTTTAAAAAAAAGGATTTTGTTAAATAAGGCTTTGAAGGAGGAGTAATTCCCCTTTTGTACGGCGGCTCCCAGAAGATTGCAAAGGTGGAGCGATCAGAGGGCTGATGACGGACCTATTAATCCCTTTAATGCATCAAAAGAAGCGAGGGATCGTGGAAACGTTTGTGTGGAAATCATGGGAATATTGTGATCTGCCCGAGGCTCTGGGCGAAACTGGTGATTAGTTTTTGGGGTTGAGTTTTTTTTGAAAAAAAAGACTCCCCTGGATTTTTCCCCCCCCCCTCTCTCCTCTCCCCCCCGTTGTTTTACACCGACTTGGAACGTGGGTGATCTTGTTTTCTCTGCTTTGATCCCGAACCCCCATCCCATCTCTCATCACTCCTGTTAGCCACGTTATAGCTTAAATGGAATTAGTTTGGATTGGAGCCCCTTTGCATAAGAATCAGACATGGTCCAAGGGCATCGCCTCGGATTGCTTCACGGTAAGTGTGCAGCCGATTGCATTTCACCAGGCGATGTTGCCCTCTGTGATTCGGGGGATGGGAGAGAGGGATGGTGGGTGGGTGGGTGGAGGGGGGTTGGTTTTGTGCTTTGCACAGAAAGCGACCCTTACAACAAGCTGTGGACCATCGTGACACCGGGTCATGTTGATCAGGACCGAGAAGGACAGCGCCTGCAATGAAATCAGGAAAGAGAGTCAGAGAACGCGATACGGGGTTACTCAGGGCAGCCCTTGGATTGCACAAGTCATCTCGTCACTGAGATAACTCACTGTCTTCCACGGGATAACATCTGTCTTCTTCCCCAGAGTTTATTTTTTTTCTTGCTCTCCCCCCCCCCCCCCAAATGCGATTCTTTCTTGTAACCGTATCTATATATCCGACGCCAACCCGTTATGAGATTCCACGAGGGAATCGTAAATCCTTTGCTTAGGAACTCAGATAGGAATGGTCTGGAGTGTTTTTTTTAAGAGCAGGAGAGAGAGAGAGAGAGAGAGAGAAATACAGAACTTTTATAGAGGATTGTAGGATATCCTCTTTTGTTGATCACTTTTTATCCAAACGAAGCCACATTCTGCAATAAAAATAGCTCAGGTGTGGGCAGCATAACTTGATACGTATGAACGTATGTGGAGTGTATAGATCTAACAATTCATGTGTAAATGCTCACTGCAAGTTTATCATTGAACTTGCCATGTCTATTGTACACAGAATCTGTATCAGGCGTATTTATAACATCAAACTGCAAGTTGCAATTAAGACAGGACGCAGCAAAGTGCTAGGAAAGCACATGCTGTTGGAGATTTCTAAACTTTAAACTTCTGTGGACTGCAATTAATAATTTCCGTGGACTTGTCTCCAGCAGTAGAAGGTGTATGTTTTCTGACAGTACTGACGTGATTCAGATAAACACCACAGTATTGCTTGTGTTGAATATTTTCGTTTCTGTTGCAGTTGTATCAAGTCTCATCCTACTCGGTCTGTGTGTGGCAACAAAAAAGGATTCAGGTAATGAATAGTACAATGTACTTCATTGCCAGGTTCATTTCAGTATGTTTAATTTTCTGATTACAATCACAGCAGATACTGTTCCACGTGGGTTTAAACTCTATTTAGAATGAGCTGCAGTGATGTGAAATAATTCATTGAAACGTAGAGATGAATCATAATTTAAAACCCTTCTGCAATGCTTTTGCCAGAGAACAGTTACTGCATTAAAACACTGCAGGTTACTGTGCGCCAGAGTGGACGTAGATTTATTCAGTGTGGGCGAGCAGAGAAAGAGAGAGAGGGGGGGACACAAGGGGGAACCAGACGATTTTTTTTCAAATGAAAAATAACTTGCTGGCCTGGCTTTACTGACTCAACACATTTTTTTGAATCTGAATCTGAACTGTTCACAGACAAAACAAGGTCTTCAGAACGACAGAAGCCGGTGCAATGTGGTTCCTGGATCAAGAATCCCAATGGTGGTTCCTTCACTTCTCCCAACTACCCAAGCATGTACCCTCCTGACCAAGAGTGCATATACATTATAGAAGGTACGTCCAAGGGGCATTGCAGTCAATATACGTTTCACTAAAATTTAGGAGAATTAACAGATTGCTGTGCTGAGATTTCCCACTTGAAGGAGAACAATACTCAGCAAACACCCAAAAGAGTGATTATATCTCATGTTTAGCCCCCAAAATATGCAGTCAATTCACTTTACAGTACATTCTGTGAAGTGCTTTGAGACATGTTGATGGCGTGATAAGGCGTTCTATAAAATGCCAGGTATTGTTTTGGGGGCTGGAAATTCAATGTTAATTAATGATCTTTAAAACTGCCAGCATTTAAAAAAATTCTAATATCACTATTTCTTCAAATATTAAAAACAACGTGCTTGACATTTTTAAAACAAATAACTGGGTCCAGGTTGAATTCTTGATATAAATTATGAAAATGCCTTTTCTTATCGTACCAATAATAGTCTTACACTTCTCTTTACGTCATACCTGTCTTATTGGTTTAATGTTAGAAATCAAAGTTACTCTAAGATCAAGTTACTGTTAAATAAAATCACAGGGTATTATTTGTAATATCTTAGCTATTACATGAAATTGTATACAAGTGTATATTAATAAGTATATATAAGTACTTAGTGCATAACTAATAAGTACAGATGGCTTTACATCATGCATTGCAAGGTTACAATACATTTAAGATTTGGTTGAGGTTATAAGCAGAACAAGTTTATTGTTATTATGTGTAATATCTGACTCGCTCAAATGTACCACACAATTGTAACATGCTCACTAATCCTCTGATTTTATTGTTCAGCTGCTCCAAGACAAAGTATTGAACTTTACTTTGATGAAAAGTATTCTATAGAACCTTCTTGGGAGTGCAAGTTTGACCATATTGAGGTACGAGATGGACCTTTTGGGTTTTCTACTGAAATTGGACGTTACTGTGGTCAGCAAATTCCACCTTTTATAACATCATCTGGCAGATTTTTATGGATTAAATTTTTTGCTGATGGGGAACTTGAATCTATTGGATTCCTGGCAAGATACAACTTTATACCAGGTAACTAGTACATTATTTTCTTATCTGAATGCTGTGACTGAAATGAAGCAGATATTACTCTCATACCTTTTCTGAATAATGCCGTATGTTTGGAAGTTGGTGTGGCAATTGAAAGTTGATAGTTTCAATTAAAATGTTCTATGCTATTGAAAATATTTACTTTTATTCATGATTGAAAGATTCAGCTTTCTTCCTTACTGTTACAGAATAAATAATCAGAGTAAAATATTCTATTTTATACTACACAAGATATGAAATGATTTAAAATGAAATCTGTTTTGTTATATATAGGATTAAGAATATTTGAAATTGATTAAAGCTGGGAAGGAGCATGGAATAAATCAGATGGGCTGAATTGCTTTTTTCATTCCTTATTGAACTCTATGGGGGTTAAAGAAATAGAATGGATTATTGCATGCTGGAGTTTTTAGATAATTCACTTACTTGTTGCTTGCGGTGTTCTTTTCAAGAAAATCCTTCAAGTTTGTTGAACATAATGTAGCACAAACATGTTATGCAGCATTGGTTTCTTATTTCAGATCCAGTCAATGTGGGTTAATATCATTGTACTCTGTCAGTGCCCTCTTTTACAAGATATTGCCATGGGCTGTATAAACAAAAATAACAGCTCCCATCTACTCCTGTTACTTAAGGTATATTTGCTTTTCATAGAAGTGTGTGTGAATTACCAATGGGTTCGTTTCCTGACTCACTCTCTGAAACACTGTGTATTATGCTGATATATTATAATTAACAAGAGAATTATGGGCAGAGCCTAACTAATGCTTAAAGTGTAAAACAAGGAAATTAATTTATTATCACAGTATTTAGATCAGATTTATTCAGTGCTATGCACTAGGAGGGCATAATGTTTCCAAGTAAATTCCCTCCAAAAACAAAGGATAACCACCATAGTTGGTTGTTGTTGATTTGTTGTGAACGGTTAGTATAATTCATTACTTACAAAGAGGATGAGGTGAAGGCTGAAGAAGAAGTTCTCTGAATCAAAATGTTGAAAAGACATGATTTAAAGGGGAGTTACTTTCACTAGAATGTGTTTTTTGTTTTAGTTAGAGGCTTCTCCGAAGACTTACTCACAAAAAACCATAGTCTCAACTGATAACAAGGCTCAGCCTGAAACATGTCCTGTTTGCTTTTAAAGTGTAAAACAAAAGAAATTAATTTACTATCACAGTAAATTAATGTGATATTCTGCCTTCAACTAGTTCAGCCTAAGTCTGCCTTCAACTAGTTTATCTCAGCTGTAGCAGCAGTGATGGTACTTCTGTTGATTACAGTAACCCTGTGCAAGGGAGGATACAAAACAGCCAAGGTTCTTACTCCTGATCCCTATCCAGAGGGACATGTGCAGAATAGAAAATATGTAGGGATATTAAATTAGTAGAGGTGGGTCCCCCACCTCCACAACATCGTCCGGCTCCATCACTGCCTCACCCTTCAGGCTGCTGAAACCCTCATCCACGAATTCATCACATCTAGGCTCGACTATGCCAATTCTCTGCTTGTTGGCCTTCCCGACTCTCCTTTACAAGCTGCAGATCATCTAGAACCGCAGCTCATGTCCTCTCCCGCACCAGTCTCCATCACCACCACCCTTGCCTGGTTTCACTGACTCCCAATTCCCCAGAGGATAGGGTTCAACATCTTCATCTCCGCCTTCAAGGTCCTCCACAGCCTTGCTCCTCCTTTCTTCTCCTACCTGCTGACTCCTTATCAACCGGTCCACTCCTTCTGCTCAGCAAGCTGTGGCTTGCTCCACGTTGCCCGGCTGACCTGTTCCACCATTGGCAGTTGGGCCTTCAGTCTTTCTGCCCCCATCCTATGGAACTCCATCCCACATTCCCTTTGCCTTGCTCCCTCCTTTGCCTCCTTCAAGGCTTATCTCAAAACTCTCCTCTTTGACCATACTTTCGTCAATTCCCTGCTCTCCACCCTCCTGATCCCGATCCCCAGCTTGGATCCAAATTCCTGACTGTCCAGCACCTTGGGACATCCTCCCAACAAGAATGGCGCTATACAAATGTAATTTTGTATTGTATTCAGTTGAAATGTCTCCTATGTTTGAACAACCTGCCAAAAGGTTGTTTTGGTTCAATCATCCACTGAGTCGAAGGAATGGAGGATAGTCAACATCCATGGAATCACACTGCAGGATGAGTCAATGCCTTTGAGAAGGATGAAGGGAGAGAATGGAAAGGGAGAAATGAAGCATTTGACAAACATTTATTGTGATCGAATAGGAGAGGAATATTGACTTTCTTTTTTTATATCCCAGTGACGTAACACATAAGTGACTTAATTATGTGTATGAAATGATTTAAATCATTGTTACAAGTTTACAAAGAAAAAGTATTCTTGGCAGGTGCATTTCATGAGTAACATCATAATTGCGGCACATGCAATAAAGATGCTGAGCAGACAAGCAGAATCCTGTGTGACACAAAAATTCTTTATGCTTTCAGCTGGGCAGAATTCAATCATACAGGCTGTAGATGAATTTACTGATGTTACGTTTAAAATCTGCCCATGTGGTAATGCATATCTTTTCATGGTACTTTCAGTGAATTCCAACGTTCATTGAGGGATGTCCATGATCATTTGTAAAAAGATATTTCACGAAAAGTATCTTTTGTTTCACCCTGCTCCCTGCTAGTTGTTGCAATATTTCCCCACGCATAATGCAACAAGTTATGTTCTTGTTCTCTGGATTCTGCCAGTGTCATTTAATAGCCAACCATTATCAGGGCTGCAAGTAGAGTTTAGGCTTTTTTCGTTTGTGTTTTTGCTTATTTTCAAAGAGAAAGATTTAATCTCTGTTTGGAACATTCCCAGTTGGCCTGAGCAGAATTAGAAAATCACTATGTAAGAAACACCAGGGAAAGTCCCAAGCCCCACTCATGCATAGCAACGAACAATAATGTATCAAAGCAACATCTCAGAGGGGAACAACAACAACAACAAATTACATTTGTACAGAAGCCTTCACATTGGGAGGATGTCCCAAAGCGCTGACCAATAGATGTATATAAGATTTTAAATGGATTTGAGAAAGTAATCCCACAACAATGTTTTCAGATTTGCCAAGGTAGCAGAGCAAGACGGGATACATTCAAGGTTATAATTGATAGTTTCTGAATGGATCTAAATACCAGGACGTTTTCTTACCTAAAAGAACAGGTTACAGAAAGAATGGTTGAGCCCTGGGCACTGGAAACACTGTGGGCACTTAAGAAACAGTTTGGCAATATAATGGGAGGATGGCAATCTAGAAACATGAGATCAAATGGGCAAAGGATGCCTCTTCATCCAAACTTCTCTTCTGATCTAATGATCAATAGGGCAGTGACTGTACATTTACTGAGATTAGAGCAGCTTGAATTTTGATACAAGGTGCTTTTGGTGCCATTTTAAAACTTCAGTATATTGGTTGTCTTAACTCAAATTGTCACTTTATTTAATTGTACTGAATTGAAATCAATTGTTCACTCAGAAATTTGTGAGTCTTTGTGTGGTGCGGGACTCCGAGACAATCAAGCTCACACAGACAGATTAAAATGTACTTTTACGATTTTTATATAGCAATATGCGTGATACAGAAAGGTAGAATGATAGAGCCGGAGAACAGAATACAGTGTTGCAAGTTTTTTTCTTCTTTGCCTTTTCTTCTCAGCAGTTTCTAAGTAGTTTCTTCTTCCTTTAAGTGGTACCTTCTTTCTTCCCAGGTCTGTTCTAAAGACCATCAGCTGCAACAGCTACATTTATACCCACTTGATTGTTTAACTCTTCCTTCAACTCTAACCATCTGGTCTCTCTTACAGAGAAGCATTTTCTTGGTTTTACCTTTCTATCCCATTAAAACATTCCTTCTACCCCTGGCCGCATCTTGATCACATTGATCGAAAAACATAGACTTTGAGAAGGAAAAGCAGTTTTGCACTAATAAAAAAAGTGCCATGAGATAAGGTGCCTAAACTTCCTCCAATTATGATCCATGGGGGCATCCAGGAAGACTAGAAATTTGTATCTACAAAGTGCAACTGGCAGTTCATACCATTTGCTACTTTCTTATCTGTCATTATAAAATGTTAATCTATTTTTTATGAATACATGTAAACTCTAAGTGTGCTGGTGTGTTCTGTAATATAAAGAGACAAAAAAGTCATTCACTTCATGGCTGTTTGTAGGACTTTGCAATGCCAAGCTGGTTGCTGTGTTTGCCTACAAATACACTTTACAGTAAAATCACGTAAAGTGCTTTGAGCCGTCTCAATGATGAGATGAAGTGCTATATTGAATGCAAGGATTATTGTTACCATAATGCATCATATTTTGCTGCTTAAACCATATTTACAAATAATAATGTAGTAAAGCTCTTGACTGCAGACATTTACCACAAACATCAACATGTTATTTTTTAATTTCATCATCTTGACAAACACTTGTATAATTTCTCCATTGATGGTAGGAGTAAAAATAACTCACTGCTGTTTTCTATGATTTTTCCTCTTGTTGAGAACATCAGCAATAGGGAATGCACTAAACTCCTGATAACTTGACTCTGTCTTAAATAATCTCAATTACTTAAGTTGCCAGGCTATCAATATTCCAGTTGCTTCCCATGCAAAATGTTCGTAAGGATTCCATTTTACTTGTCATCACTTGATATCCTGCTTAACACATTACTCATCACGTTCTAGAAGTTGTTATAAGTACTTACTTCAGATAACTCATCCTATAAGATGGCATCTCGCATGAAAGAACCTTTGACTGGTGCGGGTGCTCTGTGGCAGTTGACATGCTCAGATGCATTAAGGTAGCCTCTCATCTCTTGTCACAGGATATGGTGGGAGGCAGGGGAGGAGGCCACAGGATGGTCCGTATTGAGGAGATGCCAACAACTTCTTGGACCCTTACTGAAAGCATGATGGATATGGTGTGGCACTCTTCCATCCAATTGATTTAGCGAAGAATCTCCCATC